ATGTTGACAATGGGGTGGGCTGTGCATGTGGGCGGGGGGGTAGGGGCTATACGGGAAATCTGTACTTTCCTCTTCATTTTGCTGTGAAGCCGAAACTGCTCTAAGAATAAATCTTAATAGGAATAGGAAACAAAATAATTAAATAATTTTTTAAATATGTGGTTTGGGGCTGCATCTGCTCTGCAGGGACCCCAAGCATAGCCTTACCCGCCAGTGGGCAGCCTGATGCCAAAGAAACAATCCCTGGCTTATCCTCTTTCCCCCTCGAATTGCATGGCTCCCTCCACACGCCATCCCTTTCTGTGGACATGAACCTCTCATCTTAAAGGAAATGCCCCTTGACTGTTCTCTGTCTCTTGCAGCCTCCTTAATCTTTAATTCTCTGCCTCTTATCCACGCAGCCAAACACCCAGCACCTGTTCTCTCTGTTGGTTCCTGGCTCCCACTTCAGCCTGACCTCTGGGCACCTCCCAATCCCCCAGGCTGCTTCCCCCACTGACTTCCTTCTTGCCAGATCCAATGACCTGATATTAGCACGGGATTCAGAGTCAGATGGCCTGGGCGGAGCTCTGTCACTCGCCAGCTGTGTGACAGTGAGCAAACTGAAGCCCTTCTCTGGGCTGTGGGCTTCACCTTGAAAATGATTTATGTTTCTGCCTCCCATGACTGCCCAGGAGTTCTAATGCCAAGGAGTCAAATACGTTAAGAAGGTCCGCCATTGGGTGCAAATGAGATGTGAGGAGGCCTGAAACGGCACTGGATAAACTGTCAAGATCCACTCCCCGCCCCTGCACTGACTACTAGAACGATCAACGGCTGAGGTTGCTGGGGGCACATGCAGAATGTGTAGGAAGAACAGGGTGCCAGTGTCAGGTCTGGGTTGAGTCCCAGGTCTGCCCCTTGCTGGCTGTGTGGACTTGGGCAACTGCTTAAGCCTCACAGGTTCCTCACCAGTAAAAGAGATTTACACATCTGAATTGTAAAGTTAACTGGGATCATGAGTCCTGATTTTTAAAGGTGAGAGCACTAGAGTAACAGAATCATCGTAGCGAACTTTTTTTCTGCCTACCTAAAACTTGCAACGTATAATCTCATTGAATCCCCCCACAACCCTTTGAGCGAGGACTCTTCCCTCCTCATTTTACAGACGAGGAAATGGAGGCATAGAGAGCCAAAGTGACTTGTCGAAGGTCACACGGTTAGAAGGAATAGGAGCTGGAATCTGAACCCAGGAGGTCTGATTTCAAAGCCTATACTCTATGGCTTCCTGTTGAAGGGTATCAGTACAAATAAGTGGGAGGATGACAATATTATTATCAGGGCCTCTAAGAGTCAGGCTGGGAGTTGCCACCACCCTGGGGCTAGGGATGGCAGGTGTGTTTGTGGGTGGGGGTGAGTACATGAGTGATGCTCACCCCTGGGGAAATATCTTGCAATATACACACCTTCCTGCTTCATCCTAGACACAAGCGTCTTCTCAACATCCTGCCCAGGCCTCTCAGCCCCGGCTGCCCCTCCCCTCTGGCAGATTTGGGAGAAGCAGGCTTGGAGTTCCCCCATCCTAGAAAGGGGGAGAGATTCCTCATCTCGTGAGGCTGACCCCGGTCTGGGGGCCTGGAGTTACTAATAGCAGCCCGCAGGGCTGTGTCATCCAGCTGGTGACTCAGGGCTCCAGGTCCAGCCCCCTCCCCATCCTGATGGGGCCTCCACCTGGGGGAGGGGCTTAGAGTTCAAGCGCTGGCTGACCCCGGTTCAGGCTTAGAGGGTGCCCACCTGGGGGTATATCCTGCTTCCTGCCTCCTCTCCCAGGGCCTTGGCTAAACTGTGTTGTGGTATTGGAAGGAGGGGCTGGGGAAGTGGGGAAGGGGATGTGGTAACCAGAACCACTTCCTGACATTGCTGTGTTGAAAGCCAAGCTCCCCTCAAGTTCCCCTTGGTGGGGGTGGAGGAGCCAGGGGGTGAAGGAAGAAGTTGGGAGGGAGAGAGAACGGGAGGCTTCTTGCCTGGATTGACTCCAGAAATCAAGTTCCAAGGTTCCTGGTGGGGTGTTCTTTCCCTGCTCCCAACTTGGTAAAAACAGCCAGCTGGTCCAGAGGCAATCATTCAGAGTTAGAGCAGCCCCAAGCACTCAGTGCCCTGTGTCAGGCGCTTTCTACCTGCTCACTCGCTTGACCCTTATAACCCCATGAGGGAAGCACCATTATTACCCTCATCTTACCAATGGAGAACCTGAGGCACTGACCAGTTATGTCGACTACTCAGATCACCCAGCAGGTCCATGCCAGAGCTGAGATGTGAACTCAAAACAACTAGGCTCTAGAGTGCAGACTTTTAGCTACCATTCCTTATAGCAACCCCCCCGCCCAACACACACACACTCACACGCAGTCCCCTGGCTTGCTTTGTGACCTAAAAGAGGAATATGCTGCACTCTGGGCCTGCCTCAGTTTCTTCCTCTGCACGATGGGCACTTGGAGTGAATAAGTATGCCTCCCTCTCGTGATGTTTGTCTGTCTGGTAATGAATTATACATTCAGTTTCTTCCTTCTTGGACTCCATGAGCTCGAGACAATAGCTGTCTGGGTCACTACCTTATTCCCAATTCTTAACACAATGCTGGCCTGTAAAAACTCAGCAAATATTCGTTAAGTAAGTGGTCTTTAAGGGTTTGAAGATCAACATCAATCGTCTGAGTGTATGATGAAAATTTTGGGCCCTGTACATAGAAAAATCAACATATATCAGTGGGGGTGACTTTGCCCCTCCCACCCACCCGGGGAACATTTGGCAATGATTGGCAACATTCCTGGTTGCCACAACTGGCAGGGGGGAGGTGCTACTGGCATCTGGTGGGTGGAAGCTGGAGATGCTACTAAACATCCTACAACAAACAGGACGGTCCCCACAACAAAGAATTATCTGGCCCAAAGGTCAATAGTGCTAAATTTGAGAAATGTGACATATATGCATAGATGTGATGTATTTTGTGCAATTGATGGCAAGTTGGGGGTGGTTCATGAATTCTTCTAAAGCCCATGCCAGCTTGCAGATGAAGACCCTCTGGATTAAAGGGTCTCCTTGTTTCCATCTCTAAAGTCATGTTGCTCTGACTCTACACTCTCAAGCCTGGAATATAGTCCCCCTGGGTCCCTTGTCCTAGCGTCTGATTCCCAACGGCCTAAGACTCCTCTCTGATCTTCAGTGGGTGCAGGTGGTTAGGGGGAAAGGGTCCACATTTTAAGTCTCCTGTCCTACCCCCCACCCCCTACTCCCCTTTGAGATAACTCCTAGTTATCTCAGGTTCCTGTAAATGGACATAAACACGAAAAACTTCAGCACTAGGGAGCTTTAGGTTTGAATCCCGGTTTTGTGTATTAACTCACTGGGTGATTAAGGCAAGTTCCTTACCTGCTCTGAGCCTCAGTTTCCTCCCCTGGTAGTGGGAGGGGCACTCATTAAACCTGCCTCCCAGATGGGGGTGAGGAGAGGATCAGATGCTTGTAGGGACCTTATCACAGTACTCCACAGCAAATCTCAAAAAATGCGTTAGTATTGTGGCTCAGAGGTGAAGTGACTTACCCAAGGTCACAAAGCTGGGGGACGGCAGAGCTGGGACTGAAGACCGGGACCGTATGACTCATTAATGAGTGAACTCTGAAGCTGCCAATTTCCTATAAGAAAAACTAATTGTCTTCATCTCACAGATTCACTTATTAAACAAACATATAAAATGCCTGGCACGGAGTACGACTTTGAAACACAGCTTGTTGAATTTTTGTTACTGTCCTTCCCAAATAATGGCTCTAAGAGGGCAAAGGCGGGCCCTGCCCCACACGGGCTGGCTGGGGAAAGGGAAATCGGGGGAGGCTGACGGTTTACTGGCAGAAGCAGTGATCATTGGCGCTGGGGCTGGCGGGGGTGAAGCAGGGCTGGGGAACCGAAAGGCTCCTGAGGTCATCCCCTACCCCCACAGCATTTTACAGTCGAAGAGCCCAAAGCCCAGAGAGGGGAAGGCATTTACTCTAGATCAGTTTAGCGCCCAAGACCCCCATCTCCTGATTCCAAGTTGGAATCATGATCTTGGCCCAGATAATTAAAAGCAATCTCAGCCTGGCCTGTTGAGGATTTGCAACGTACACTGTATTGAGCATTTTACATGTTTGATCTCATTTTATCCTCACATCAGTTTAGGGACAAAGGGCCCCCTTTTACAGCTGAGGAAGCAAACTCAGAATGGTGAGGCCATTTGCCCAAGGCACTGAAAGAAGAGAGTGAAGCCACGTCTGTTGGCCTCCAGATGCCACAAATAAACTCCCCCTCCACTACCCTGCAGGAGTCAGCTCCTGGAGATAGGGGGTTGCCCCAGCGGAATTCCCCAGTTCCTGTCTAGCAGAGCCCACTCACTGTGGGCCAGGTGGAATAGGGAGAGGAAGCTGAGTCAAGGGAGGTGTCCAGGGAGGAGACATGCGGGCAGAGCGAGCCTGGGAGTGTGGGAAGGGGCCCACAGAGGGGTCTGACCAGGAGGGGGGAATCGCTAGGTTCAGAAAAAGGCCTCAGAGAATCTTCCATCCCCTTCCCCTTATACTGACCGATTGGGACCTTCAGATGGAGGGCGCAGGGAACCCCCGTCCTCGTCTTCCTCCCTCTCTTTCATCAAGTTCTCACAAGCCATGCAGTTTGCAAAACCCAACCCTCCCCCATGGGCCTGTGGTTTCCTGTGGGTCTCTGTGGGTCTGGGGTCCTGCCTGACTCAGCAATGGAGACTGCGGGCAGCAGGGAGGGAGGAGGTGGTGTAAGCCCTTTCTCTGCCTTCTCTCTCTCTCTCTCTCTCTCTCTCTCTCACACACACACACACACACACACACACCCCACACACACCCCATCCCCTGAGTCAGCCCCTGCCTGGCCTGTCCGCGAGGGGCGGGGTCACTGATTCAGTGAACAGCTCCTCTTTAAAGCCCCCACGAGGGCAGCTGCAGCCAGACGCCGCTACCCTCACCATGAGCCCCTGGCTGGCCCCCGTCCTGGCGCTCCTGGTTCTGGGCCACTGCTTGGCTGCCCCCAGACCGCACCAGCCCACCGTTGTGGTCTTCCCAAGAGACCTGCGGACCGGCCTCCCTGATAGGCAGCTGGCAGAGGTAAGCAATCGCCTCAGTCTAGACTGGAATCCTAGGGAGGGCATGGACCTTGGGGGATACTTCGGGCCACACTGGGGGTACTGGCATGTCTGGAGAACAGAGGTGTCCAGGATCAGGCACTGGGAGGGAAGGGTGTCCTGTGGAGGCTCTGGGCAGTGATGGCCAAGAATGGGTTAATGAGGGTTTCCTAGGTGGGCAATGGGGAGTGGTGTGGGGGGAGCATTGGAAGGTTCTGGAGTGGGTGTGCGCTGGCAGGGAACAGGGATAAACCCTAGGGATCCCTGGGGTAGGTATGGCCAGGAGCGTCCAGGGCTGGGAAGGAACGAAGGATGTCTACACGGAGGGGACATGCTCAGGTGGGCACAAGCCCTGATGTCCAGGGTCCCTAGTCTTAGGTACAATGCCTGGTTGCTAGTCCCTGAGCTCCTGGAGGGCTGGGGTTCCGGCCCAGTAGGGCAGAGAAAGGGAGTCAGTGCTCTGGGATGTCTCGGCCCCTCCATCCACAGGAATATCTGTTCCGCTATGGCTACACCAAAGTTGCCGATTTGAGCGACAGCAAGCAGTCCCTGAGGAACGCGCTGCAGCATCTCCAGAGGCGCCTGGCTCTGCCGCAGACCGGTGAGCTGGACAACACCACCCTGGAGGCTATACGAGCCCCACGCTGTGGCGTCCCAGACGTGGGCAGATTCCAGACCTTTGAGGGTGACCTCAAGTGGCACCACCAAAACATCACGTACTGGTGCGTGGTGGGGTCCTGCGGGGGCCGGTGGAGTGGGGTGGGGAGGCCGGTCTCCCCGAGCTCAGGCGGCAGATGAACACCCCCTGTCTCAGACCCATCCTTGGATTTCACTAAATATGCAGCCTGGGGCAAGTGGCTCCACTTCTGAGCCGCCTCGCAGGCTGAGTCCTCCTGCCAAGGGCCATTGTGTGTTGGCAAAGGAAAAATGCATCTAACAGTGCTTTACGGATGAAAACCTGGAGCTGAAGTCGCTGAGACGTGGGGTGCCGCTGCAGCCCCGGCTCCCGCCTCTTACTTCTGGCTGGACTTGGTCCTCCCGCCTTTCTCCTGCAGGATCCAAAGCTACACGGAAGACTTGCCGCGCGAGGTGATCGAGGACGCCTTTGCCCGCGCCTTCGCGGTTTGGAGCGCGGTCACGCCGCTCACCTTCACTCGCGTGTACGACCAGAGTGCCGACATCGTCATCCAGTTCGGTGTTCGGGGTGAGAGTGCGAGAAGGGAAAAGCCAAGAGGGTCTGGACGGGGACAGGAGAGGGAGGACCACGGAGCATAGACGGGGCACTGGACCCGGCTTTCTCTTGCCTGCGCTTCCCAGCCCTGGCCGCTGCTCGCTCTTTTGGCGCCCCCTCCTGCGCGCTGCGGGCGAGGGCGGGGCCGCGAGGCTCGCGTAGCTGTTCAGAGGCGGAGTTTCAGCCCCACTCAGTCCAGTGCCCGTGGGTAGCCAACAGTGTGCAGCCCGGTACCCAGCTAACTCTCTCCTTCCCGCTGCTTCTTCAGAGCATGGAGACGGGTATCCCTTCGACGGGAAGGACGGGCTCCTGGCACACGCCTTTCCTCCTGGCCCGGGCATTCAGGGAGACGCCCACTTCGACGATGAAGAGTTGTGGTCCCTGGGCAAGGGCGTCGGTGAGATCCTGAGCCGCCGCGGACCCCGTTCCCTTTTCTTCTCACGCCCGTCGCCACCTTCCCTGACCCCGGTCCCGCTCCTCCTGCAGTGGTTCCGACGCGCTTTGGGAACGCAGACGGTGCTCCTTGCCACTTTCCCTTCACCTTCGAAGGCCGCTCCTACTCCGCCTGCACCACCGACGGCCGCTCTGACAACATGCTCTGGTGCAGCACCACGGCAGATTTTGACACCGACCGCCTGTTCGGTTTCTGCCCCAGCGAGAGTGAGTTCTGCATTGTGGAGGGTGGGGTGTGTGTGGGGGGGGTAGTGCCCAACAGCCTCGAGGGCCAGAACTCTGTGTTTTCATCCCAGCTCAGCCACTAGTGCTCTGTGGTCTGCAAGCCACTCTCTTGCTCTCTGGGCCCAGTTTTCTCACCTGTGAAATGCAGAACGGAGGGGTGCAGTATGGGTGGCCTGCGGGTTAATAAACTCAGGGTAATGCGTGGGCCTCCCCAGGACTCTATACCCAGCATGGCAATTCGGATGGCCAGCCCTGCGTGTTTCCGTTCACCTTCGAGGGCCGCTCCTACTCCGCCTGCACCACCGACGGTCGCTCCGACGGCTTCCGCTGGTGCGCCACCACAGCCAACTACGACCAGGACAAGCTTTATGGCTTCTGCCCTACCCGAGGTACCTCTGCCCCACCCTCCAGATTCAACACTGGTCTTCAAAACGTTTCTCCCCCACCCGTCAGTTTGTCTCTCCACTTGTGGCTGGTGCTCAGGACCCCCAGACTCTGCCCACTCTCACTACGGCCCCTCCCTCTGACTTCCAACTGCTGCTCCCTCATTCATGGGGCTTGGCCTGCTAGCCCAGCCTGCTGCCTCTCCCTTAGTCTCCAGTCCCTAGGCCTAACCTGGACTCAGCTGTGCCCCACAGCGCCCCCTAAGCTTTAAAAATGGTACCAAGATTTTCTAGCTCCTTGTTTGGCCCACCCTGGCTTCTTATGGGACCCACCCACTTGGCTCACGCAAGGCCCTTGGTCTCTCCAGTCGACTCGACCGTGACCGGGGGCAACTCAGCAGGGGAGCTGTGCGTCTTCCCCTTCATCTTCCTGGGCAAGGAGTACTCGTCCTGCACCAGTGAGGGCCGCAGCGATAACCGCCGCTGGTGTGCCACCACCTCAAACTTTGACACAGACAGGAAGTGGGGCTTCTGTCCGGACCAAGGTGGGCAGGGTTCGACGGTTCTGGGCTGGGGCAGTGGGTGGGTGGTGGCGCTGCTGGCTGGCAGACAGCCGGGGCTGGAAGCACGATCCAGGGCCCGTGTCTCAGCCTCTCTCTTTCCTCCAGGATACAGCTTGTTCCTTGTGGCTGCCCACGAGTTTGGCCACGCCCTGGGCTTAGATCACTCGTCTGTGCCAGAGGCGCTCATGTACCCCATGTACAGCTACACTGAGAAGTCCCCCTTGCATGAAGACGACGTGAAGGGCATCCAGCATCTGTATGGTGAGATTTCATGGCAGGGATGGAGGGAGGAGGAAGGAGCATGGAGAACAGGGTGGGAGGAATTGGGACCTCAACGTCCATCTGGGAAGGAGCCTGGGTCTAGTGGGTGTAACTGCTGTGGGGTCAGCGCTTGGAGATAGTGATAGAGAGCCCAGAGTCAGAACGAGACGTAGGTTCAAAAGCCGGTTCAGCCGCTCCCTAGCTAGGTGACCTGGAATACATCAGTTTGCTGGCAATTTCCTCATCTGTAAAGTTTGGTTAATAACAGTACCTGTCTCCCAGCGTTGTTAAGAGGTTTAAATGATTGGCTAATAACAGTACCTGTCTCACAGTGTTGTTAAGAGGTTTAAATGAGTTAGAATAATGCCTGGCATATGGTAAGCACCATATAAGTGTTTGATATTTTTACTGTTATTATCATTTATCATTAGTATTATTTTCTCATTTAAAAAAATGGGAATTTTACTTACAAAAATTATTTATTCTTAGAGAGGGCAAGGGAAGGAGAAAGAGAGAGAGAGGAACATCAATATGTGGTTGCCTCTTGCGTACCCCCTACTGGGGACCTGGCCTACAACCCAGGCCTGTGCCCTGACTGGGAATCAACCGGCGACCCTTCAGTTCGCAGGCCCGCGCTCAATCCACTGAGCCACACCAGCCAGGACAAGAAATGGGGATTTTAAAGAATCTACTTCATAGGGTTGTTTTTTTTTTTCGTTTGAAGCCCACACAAGCTAAATATGAGTTTATTAACTTGTTAGCATTGTGTTTGGCACTCAGTTTGAGTGCTCCAAAACCACTTCTCTCCTATCTGCGGGATCGGTGGTGGGGGGTGTCCCTACCTGTCCTATGTTTATAGGGCCAGAGCCTGGCCCAGGGACCAGATAAATATGGCTTGAATGAAAGATGAGTGCAGGAAACGATGAGACCTTCCTGTGCCTGGGAGGGGTGGAGGGAAGGCAGGCTCCAGCATCTAAAATGAGGAGAGTGAGTGCCAGGCGGGATATCTGATAGGCCCTGGGGAACAGACACTCCATGGGCGCAGAGGTATGCGGGAATAGAGGTGTCTCATCTGGTGTCTCTTTGTAGGTGCTTCCCCTAAACCTGAACCACGGCCTCCAACCACCACTCCTGAAACCAAGCCCACTGCTCCCCCGACGGTCTGCCCCACCGCTCCTCCCACTGCACGCCCCTCAGAGATCCCCACTACCGGCCCCACAGGCCCCCCGTCAGCTGGCCCCACAGGTGCCCCCACTGCGGGCCCCACGGGTCCCCCCACTGCTGGTCCTTCTGCGGCTCCTACAGCGTCTTTGGATCCAGCGGACAACGTCTGCAACGTGGACATCTTCGATGCCATCGCACAGATTGGGGACTACCTGCATTTATTCAAGGATGGGTGAGGGGCAGGGATGTGTGGTGAGGGAGAGCGTTTGGAAGGGGGACCACCCTGTCCCTTCCCTTCCACTGGCCTTTGGTTCAAGGCTCAGTGCCCTGCTGTTCTCTTTTCGCGTTCCCAGGAGGTACTGGCGATTCTCTAAGGCCCAGGGACGCCGACAGGTGCAGGGCCCCTTCCTTATCAGGGACAAGTGGCCTGCACTGCCGTCCAAGCTGGATTCCGCCTTTGAGGAGCCGGTCACCAAGAAGATTTTCTTTTTCTCTGGTTAGTTTCCTCCTTTTTCCCTTCCCTCCTCAGCATCCTCACCAATCTAGGAGGACCAAGAGACCGAGGATAATCCAGAAAACGTTAAAGTGCGGATTTAAAAACGCGCCCCCTCCTGGCGGATGCGATTTAACAAGTTTAGCGGAGCTGAATTTCAGCTCCCCTTGCACAATTGTACCGCGCGGCTCTGCTCCTGGGCTAGGAGACTGCGGGCCCGCCACGTTGCGAAAGATCTCGCTGGATTTCCCTTTTGACAGTCCAGGGGAATGTGTGCCTTCTCCCTGCCCCCAGGCCGATGTGACCCTTCTTCCCTGCAGGGCGCCAAGTGTGGGTCTACACAGGCGCGTCGGTGCTAGGCCCGAGGCGTCTGGACAAGCTGGGTTTGGGCCAGGAGGTGGCCCAAGTCACTGGGGCCCTCCCGCGCCGCGGGGGTAAGGTGCTGCTGTTCAGCAGACAGAAGTTCTGGAGGTGAGAGCCACTGGGACCGCCGGCAGGGGGAGCCCCGGCGCCATACGCCTGTCCTCTGGCTCAGCACCCGTCTCCTCGCTGCCTTCCTGCAGGTTCGACCCGAAGACGCAGACCGTGGATCCCAAGAGCGCCACCCATGTGGAGGAGATGTTCCCTGCGGTGCCCTTAAACACGCATGACATCTTCCTGTACCAAGGTGATGCCGCAGACGGGGCTTAGGGGAGGGTCCTTCTCTGAGACGCCTCTCCCCAGGCTAGGCTCCCCTGCCTTAGAGATTGGTTAAATTCCAAGCAAGAAAGGAAAAGCTCCCCTGAGATTGAGACAAATATCCCAGCACCGTTAGAGAGTCAGGGCCTTCCCCAGATCATCCAGGGGACACGGGGGGAACAACAAGAACTAGGATCCAGATTTCCTGCCTCCCCAGTTGAAAGTTCTTTCCCGTACAATACAAGACGCATGGTTTGCAGGAAGTCTCATTGCTTTATTAATCAGTATTTGCCAGGCAGTGTGCTGCCGTGGGGGATATAGTGATAAATAAGGCAATTCATAGCTGTGTGTCTTTGGGCAAGTCACTGCTACTCCCCATCTGGGAAATTGGGAGAGCTGGAGTTAGGCTTACTTTCTCTTTTTCACCTCTCACATCCAATCAGTTGACAAGTTCTGTTGATTCTACCTCTGAAATATTTACTCTCACTATCTCCTTTGCAAACACCCTAGTCCAAGCCATCCTGGTTGTCCAATACTGCTAAAGTATTCTCTGGGACTAGGGAGGGCTTAGGAGTGGAAGGCAATAATGTTGGAGGTGACTCCAGACATAATGCAAGGCCAAAGAAACAAACAGGAGCTGACCCTCCCCCAACCCCCCACTGCTCCCTCTGCTCGCCCCACCCCCACTGGCCTTCTGGCTGCTCTCTGAGCACATCAAGGTCAGTCCTCGCTTAGGGCCTGTGTGCCAGTTGTTCTCTCTGCCTGGAAGGTTTTTTTCCCAGATTGTCGCCAGGCTGCCTCCCTCTCATTCTTCAGGTCTCAGCACTAAAGCCACCTTTTCAAAGAGGCCTCTGACCTTCATTATCTATTTACTTACTTGCTTTTGTTTCCTCTCCACTGTCGAAACCAATCTCATTTATTTACATGTTTGCTTGTTAATCACCTGTCTTACCCACCAGAGTGTAAGCACCAAAAGAACTGAGGTCATGCTTGCATTTTCCCCTGCTGTATCCCCAGTGCTTCTAGCAGTGCTTGACATGATAAATCTTTGTTGAATGAATACATGAATGAATGGATTTGTTGAATGAATGAATGAATGTTGAATGAATTGTCCAGAGCACCTACTGTGTGCCAGGCTCTCTGCCAGTGCTTTGCACATCGGTGTCTGTGTCCTCTAGCATCTCTGGGCAGGAGATGAGGGTGTAATATGAAAGCCTTGGAAAGATCTGGAAAGAGTTTCTGTTTCTGTATGTATATGTGGGAGATTTGGAATCACCCCTCTTGCACCTGCCTCTCCCCTGCAGAGAAAGCTTACTTCTGCCAGGACCGCTTCTACTGGCGTGTGAATTTCCAGGATGACGTGAACCAGGTGGACGAAGTGGGCTATGTGACGTTTGATGTCCTGCAGTGCCCCGAGACCTAAGCCTCCCCATCCTGCTTCAGCACTGCAGCGTGGGTCCCCGTGGAGACTATCCTGATGGGGAAGGGGCCAGTTTGCCGGATACAAACTGGCGGGTCTGTTCCAAAGGACAAAGGATGAGTGAGAGTGGGCTGGGCCCTCTCATCCCACCTTCCTTTTTTGCTGGAATGTGTTCAATAAACTTGGATTCTCTAACCTTGAGATTAATTTATGTATGTATGCATGCATGCATGTATGTACACATGGATGCATGTAACAAATAGAGTGCTTACCATGTGCCAGGCAGTGTTCAAAGCACTTCATAAATATTAACATATTAGACTCTTCCTATTAGGAAAGTATAATGTGATTATTCTTGTTTCACAGCCGAGGCAGTGGGCCAATTATTCATCAAACATTTATTGAGCCCCTACATGGAGCCAGGCCCTGTGCTGGGCAATGGGGATAGAGAGAGATAAATTGGATTATGTTTCTGTCCTCAAGGACCTCTCGCAATGGTCCTCAAACTTTAGGGTGCATAAAAGTATCCTTAGAACTTGTTTAAAGTACAGACTCCAGGCTCTGCCCCAGAGAGTCTAACTCAGTTACGAGAGTGATTCTGTGTCTGGCAGGAGGTGGGCTCACACTTGGAGAGTGTGCCGTGTGTGACCCTAAAGATGTGTGTATGTGTGTGTGTGATTCTGTGTGTTGTGCTTGAAGTCAGAGGATGTTCTCCAGTCAGGATGACATCTGAACTTGTACTAAATTGGAAGGATGAGCAAGAGTTTTCTTCTTGTACAAGTAGGACTCTCTTCCAGGGGAGTTATTTACTAAGAACCTAACTGTGCCTACTCTCTAATCCTCACACACGTGTACAAAACAACACATGGAAGGATGTTGATGCAGCATTGTTCGCACAGTGAGAAACTGGAAACAACCAAAGTGCCCAGGGATAAGGCAGCGGGAAACTAAAATATAGACCCTGTGCATGATGATGGTGAAAAGGATAGTTAACAGGAAACATATTTAGGTATAGATCTTAGGGTCTAGAGATACAGGTATAGGCTTTAATTAAATGTTTCAATCGCTTTTGTTGTCATGTAGCTTATAGTCAAAAATAAGGAAGATATGTTAGTTATGTCCTAGAGGCCTGCCTGTAAAGCCAGTTCCAGGAAAAATGTTTAAAAGGGCACTTCGCTTGAGATAGTAGACAAATGTAGCTAGCTAAGCACAAAACAAGGACAGCTTAAACAATAACAAAGTTCACAAGATGTTTAGTTTCTGCTTTTTGCTTTATTTATTTAAAAAAATCTATTTATTTATTTTTAGAGGGGAAGGGAGGGAGAACGAGAGGGAGAGAAACATCAACGTGTGGTTGCCTCTCACGCATCCTCTACTGGAGACCTGGCCACAACCCGGGCATGTGCCCTGACTGGGAGTCAAACCAGTGACCCCCTGCTTTGCAGGCTGGCACTCAATCCACTGAGCCACACCAGCCAGGGCTGCTTTTTGCTTTAAAGATAACACCACTGATGCACGATTATGAGATGCTTTGCAGAATCTTGGTTCTGCAACCTGGTTACATCACCTGACCACAGTGACAAAGACACCAGAGAAGATGACATCAAAAACTAAATTAATCAGAATAAGGAAGACTGCTGAGGGTCACACAAGAACTAGCCAAACAGGCTCCCCTTTGACTGGTAACCCCTAATCCTCAATCTTTGCCTTTAAAAATCTCTGATCAAAAGCCATCAAGGAGTCTGGATATCGAGCACTAGCTTGTTGTTCTCCTGGCTTGGCGCCCAGCTAATAAGTGGCTTTAATTTTTCGACTGCAAAACTCACAGTTCTCATTTGCTTCTGCTGCACGTTGGGTGTGTGGACCCTCTTCCTTTGGATAACAATAGTAGTTACCCCTAGTATAGCACTGACTACATGCCAGACCCCGTTCCATGCGCTTTCTCTGTGTTGACACAGCTAATCCTTACATGAGCCTTATGAGACAGGTACTATCTTTACCTTATAGGTACTGATAATATTGTCATTACCCTCCTCCCACCCCCTTTACAAATGAGGAAACATAGGCACAGCTCACCTGAAGTCTCACAGCTGATGAGCGGTGACAGGGGCTTTGAATGTGTGCTCTTGGTGGAAAAGCTGGGAGAGGAGAAAGATAAGGCAGTGTTGGGGAACTGCAGATGACTCAGAATTCTGCTGTGTGGATGGGTCGGGAGCAGAGAAGATTCTGGAATGTTTGTGATAGGAATGGTTGTCTGAACCAGATAGGGTCTGATTGGCAGGGTGAGGAGTATGCACTCGACCTCAGGGGGGAATTGAGTGGAGGGAGGGCAGGTGAGGGGCGGGGGTAGGGGCTTGAGCAGGCGGGAGTCTAAGGAGGGCTTCGGAGAACTTCCTCTGGGTGGGTCCCCTCTCTCCTAACTCATCCATTTCTTGCTCAGGGACGACCCACTTCCATTGGCACCCAAATATTCCTTATTACGGCTTGTTAAAATTCCTCTGGATCCCTGACGCTCTAGGTAGTGTTCCATTTCTTTACTCCCCATCCCCATCCGTAGGAGAATTTCCTCCAAGTACGGATTTCTACTCGCTGTCTCCACTCCCTCAACGCCCATTCTGTCAGCTCCTTCCCGCCTGGCCCCCATCCCACTACACCACCGAAACCGTTCTCTTCAAAGCGCCCTGTGGTCTCCCTGTAGCCAGGTGCTGAGGAAGCACAGGGTGTGCTCCTCTGCGCTCACCCTGCACCATCTCTCCGGTCCCTCAACACAGCAGGTCATGCCCGTCTTTCTGCAGTTCTTCTTCACTGGGTCTCTGGGATGGACCCCTCTTACTCCTGTTTCCCCTCTTACCTCACTGGCTGGGTCTTCGTTTTTCCAATCTTTTAGAGGTTTCCAACCTCTAAGTGATAGTGTGCCCTTGTGCTCAATCCTTGGACTTCTCTGTGCTCACTCATTCTCTGTGATCTTACCTAGATTCGCAAGCTTTAAGTAGCTCCTGCAGTTTTATCACCAGCCTTAGCTTCTCCTCCGAACTTCAGATTTGTATGTTCAACACCAGACGCTGCCATGAACCTTACCGGACTAATAGGCATCTCAGCCTAACAGGCCCACCCGAACTCTTGGGCCCTACCTTCCAAAGATGTTTCTCCGTCAGCTATCACCACCGTAGGAACAGACTACGCCATCTGCTCTCAATCACGCTTAAAACCTGGTCAGCCCTAAGATGTAGGTATCTGCTTATGCTAGTACAGAGTTTCTCAACCTCCGCACTATTTCGGGCCCGGCAGCTCTTTGAGGGACTGTAAGACGGTTGGTGTCCTCCTCTAGGAGGCAGCAGGATCCATGGACAGATGCCAGACCCTCTCAGGGCCAGTCCTCCGCCGGGTACCACGGGCCTCAACGTGCCGAGCGGTGGGGAGGGAGTGCAGGGAGCTGATGTTAAACCTGTGGCTCATGGTCAGGCAGCCTTGGTGCAAGGCTAGATGGTCCAAGTGGCCTCTACCACTAGATGCCAGTACCACTCTGTCTCCCGTTGTGACAACCAAAAATGTCCGAACATTGTCTGCAAAGCGGGCACTAGGACCCTGTGCGGCGCCGCGTCCGGCGGGGGGCGGCGGGCGGGGGGTTGGGGGGAATCCGCTCTTTCTGCCTCCTAGAGCCAGGCTGCCGCCACTTGTGCGATCCCGGCCGTACCGCGGCCGCCCGGCCCCTTCCCTGCACCATGAGCCGCAGGTTCACTGTCACCTCGCTGCCCGCCGCGGGGCCCGCCCGGACCCCTGACCGACAGTCCCACAGGCATTCAGCCGCTGATATCCGCCACCTCTCAGCGGAAGACGCCAAAGGTAGAGGCCGCAGGGGGAGGGGTCTATAGGAGTGGGGCGGGGCAAGAGAGGGGGAGGGGCCGTGGTGGGCGGGTCTTCTTTTGGAAGGCGCGGGGTCTCCACTACGGAGACCGGAGAAGGGAGGAAACGGGGAAGAGGGATGGGCAATTGTGAAGGGCGGGGTCAGGCTCGAGGTGGGTGGGGCCAGGGGAAGAGACTGAGGCCAGAGGCGGAGGGGAGGATCTTGGGATGGAGCGGGTAGAGTCACTGAGAGCGGGGTCTGGGTTGCAGGGCACTAACGAGGTGGGGTCATCTCGGGTTGGAGGCGGGACCAGAAGGGATCAGTTGGGACCAGGGAACGCGCGGAGTGTTGGAACCTGGAGCCAATGGGAGGAAGTAGGACTAGCTCGGTTTGGGAGCAGAAAAGGGCGGGACCAGAGGGAGAAGGGTTGGGCTAGGAAGATAAGGGTAGAGTCTGGCGGGGTGCGGGGTTGAGGGCGGGAGAAAAAAATGAGTCCGGGTCGTTGAGGCAGGTGCTTGGTCCGTCGGTCATTGGTGCCTGGCTGCTCTTCCAATCTTCAGCTTCCCTGGAGGCACCGTGGACAGGCCGGACAGCCCAGGAAGAAGGCGGAAGAAAAAGTTAGTTTAGACCCCAGGCATTTAGATCCGGGGAGGATCCCATGGGATCTCCAGTTACGACCCTCAGGGACCCACTTCGCTCTCTCTGCTTCACTGCCAGAAGGGTTGGGTGGAGCCAGTTCAGGAGGGACTGGGGGCTTCTTTGAGGGCCCAACGCAGTGATCTTGTAATGGAAGTTCCAGGTAGGGTACAGAAGAGAGAGGAGGGGCAGGATCCTTCCAGCCTTCCGTAAAGAATATACATCCCAGATACACACACTCCGTAGGGGACCCTTGTTAGGGTTCCTCTCCCGGGCTCTGAGCCCTCATGTCTGGAAGGAACGTGGCCAATCAGCCTGGAGTGGCCCGAGCATTGGGAGGAGGAAGAGCCTCCCTGGGCCTCCAGGGGTCGCTGCTGAGCCGCACGTGAGCTCACCCTGACTTCAGCAAAACTAACCACCCCAAACCCTAGAGGAGCTCTACGGGGGTTTCTTTGGCCAAATCCTCTCATTGTGTAGATGACCAAATTGAGACCTAGATTTCCACAGGGTTCCAGCCTGTGAA